TTTCCCAATGTTGGTGATCAGGTTGTTGCTTTGTGTTTTGCTTTGTTTGTTTGTTTTTTAATATGCTGATTCCTGGGCTCAACCTCAGAGATTCAGATACAAAAGGTCTTAGGCATGACCTAGGAATATATAGTTTTAAAAAGCTTAGTGATTCTGATAATCACTAGGTTTTGAGATCACTGGATACTATATTGTGTTAGGCCTATGATATGTTAAAGAGATTTCTTAAGTAGAACATTGCTGGTGGTTTTTTTGTTTGTTTTCATCCACTGAAGGCATCATCGCATGTTTTTAAAAATATATACATTTGTATTTATACATATACGTTTAAATTATATATGTACTGTATATGTACATATTAACAGTAGTATGTCTATATAGCATATAAATACATGTACACATGTTATATATATAAAAATATATGTATATAATGTATATATTCGCACATATACATAAATTTGTGCGTGTGTGTGTGTGTGTGTATCACTGAAAGTCCACCAGTGGCTCAACACGCTATCATACATAAGGACTGATATTGGATCTCTAGCTGAACCAGTGTTTACAGAGTCTGTGGCTTTTTGCTGCTTGGCCTCTTACCCTGGTGGTTGGTGTTAATCCTTTGCTGCAAGTAGCAGCCTTGTTTCTTCTGGCTGACCGCCACGCTGTCTCTCTACTGTCGCTCATAGCAGTCCAGAGCCACGCCACAGGGGTGAAAGTGGACATCAGGACTTTCTACACGTGTATCTCTGGCCCTCCCTGCTTGAGTCCGGTTTCAACGAACTCATCAGACCCAGGCTGCTCACAGAGTCTGCTCTGCCTGTGCGTGTAGCATCAGGCAGAGGACCTTGGCAATTGGCATTCCAGAATCTTCAAGTTAGTTTCCATGGTCCACCATTGTAGGTTTCGAAGAAGACACGGCTGGTGAATAAGTCTTGAGGTCTGAGTGCTCCTTCTAGTATGTCTAGTTATGTCTAGTGCATTAACATAAACATTCCACCTTCTGACTTTAAGTTCAGTTACACTACTGTTTGTGGGCACATCGGTGGTGTCCTTTAGACACCGTAGGCATACTACCTAGAAACTACAAACGTTTAAGAGCCTACAAAAATGCGTTTATGACCAGGAGAAGTATATATATTAGCTCTAAAGTATGGAAAAGAAAACTGAAAAATGGAAATTTGTAAATGTTTAAATAAATGTCTAGAAAATGGTATGCTTTGCCAATTTCAGCCATAGTTAAATTTAGTATTCATTTGATAATTAGTGATTTTGAAAACAAATTTTAGGTTAGATTTCCTTTTGCTGATGAATTATCGCCAACCATAACTTAATAAGTTGGTCATAGCCAAATGTTTTCAAACTGAATTATAAAAATCCTTTCAAGTTTTTATAGCAAAAATTATTTTTAATGTGGGTTGTGGGTATCTATTAATATTTTGAGATGGGAATCCCAGAAAAGAAAAATGCCTGGAGCTATTCATGTTATAAAACATCCCTGTTTGTGGGTGGCTCATTGCATGCGCTTTAAAAAACATTTGTCAGCTTAAGTAAATTCCCACATTACGCTTATCATTTAATCTTCTATTCCCTAATATCCATTCTTCATTGCTTAATTAAGGGTTTCTGCTTTTTATGAGAGTACTTAATCCACAATCACAACTTCTCAGTTTGGCTTCCTGATATAAAATGGATAATTTATAGATAGAGAAATGTTTTGGGAAATAAAAAACACATTTTTAGCTTACAGGGTTGAAGACCATTCAAAGAGCTTTAACTTAAACTGAATCGCAAAGCTAGAATGTGCCTGTTATTTTGCCCCGTATAGTGTAGACATTTTATGACACTTTTCACCAAGGTCATTGGTTTTGTGTAAAAAACCACTGTTATGGTTGCTCACCCTGAGAGGAAGAGATGAGAAAACGAAACCAAGCCCTGCCTCAGTGGGGACTGGCCTTCCGGGACAGGCTGTGATGTGGGGCCAGGGCAGCGCGGGAGGCTAATGCAGAGGCCAACCATCCTGGGTCCCTCCACCTCTCCTATGAAGTCATCCTTAGATTCCACACCAGGAGTAGATGCTCTTCCTGCGTGTTCCCGTGGAAGTTCGTAGTTCCATCATCACAGTCTGTTGCTCTCTTTTTCCTCATTGTTGCATTTTCTCAACACTGTAAACTCCTGTGAAAGAGACTCTCTTGTTCATCAATGTCTACACCAAACCTATGGAGTGCCTGGCACATAGTAGCTCTGCAAATATTTTTTAATAATGTGACAAACGTGAGGCTTACAAGTAAAACCTCTTTCAAAGGGAATTGACTAGAGTGATTCCAAAGTTGAAAAATAAAACTGTTTATATAACATGTGAACTTTTTTCTTTTCTAGGGTTAGGAAGAAATTAGGGATGGGGGATGGCTTTGATTATGCTTCTAAAATGGTACTAAGCTTAAGATGTGCAGCTTCTGAGGATGCTCTTTAGGTAGGAGAACTGGTGAACAAGTATGTCATCTAGCCTGCCCTTTGGACTTGATCGCACTGAAACACTAGCCCCTCTGCCAAAGTTACCTCCTTTGTAGGAACAGTATTTCATCCTTTTCCCTTCCAGATGGTACATACGCATGTGGTTTCTGTAAATTACATGAATTCAAAAGTGTTCACAAGAGTACCCATGGTCCCACCATGGGGGAGCGCGCTTGCTTTGTAAACTTCCACATGATTGGAAGAGGGAAGTGAATGTGTTGTTTCCTGCCGACCTTCCCTTGTTTTGAGAAAATAAGCTATGGCTGGTCTCCCTCAGTGAATTCACAGAGTTGACCGGGGATGGTGTGCTGGCCATGTGTCACATGTCACATGTTTCATGTGCGGGCTTGCATGAGGCTGCATGTTTGTTTGCCAGCAGAGCTGGAAGAGTTTTAAGGCAAGAAGCAAAAAACCGTCCTTTTAAAAATGTCTTTTTAAGTTATGGAATATATTCTCAGAGTCCATTTTTTTTTCTTATGTGAACTTCACCTAGGAAATAAGAGTAGATTTTTTTAAAAAATCCTTTTTTTTTTTCATGGTAGGTTCTCTTAACCTCTCTCTGTCCCACGTTTTCTCACTTAGGAGGGAGTTGGGCTGGATGGGCTTCAAGGTCCAGTATGTCTCTCACACTCTGATTTCTTATGCCTTTCTTCCTGACCATGGTAGACGTAACTCCACGTCAAATAATTTATTTCCACCTGTATCGGTATTAATTTTTGTTGTCTTGTTAGCATATCCAAGGAAGGGTGTGTGTGTGTGTGTGTGTGTGTGTAACTTCATCTGTATCAGGGTTCATCACTGCCACTTTCTGACTTCCTATTTTTAACCGACTAACCACAGTGAAAGAAGTAATAGTAAAACAACAAGAACAACACTAGCTTGTGTATTAGAATAGAAGAGCAACTATAACAAACAACCCTAAAATCTCCACCCTAAATTACAATGGTTTAATGCAATAACATCAAGTCTGTTGTTTGTTTGCTCTCCATTGCTGTCAGTGGGGTAGGTAGAGGAGTAGGGAGGTCTGGTCCCTGTTCCATATAATCATTTAGGGGCTCAGGGTCTTTCCCTCTTGGGACACTCTCATCGTCAACACGTGGCCTCTAAAGTTGGTGCAGAAGGAAAAGAGAAAGTGAAGGATTACCCATGGGAAATTTTTATGAGCCAGGACTGGAACTGGCCCCTTTCCATTGGCTAGAACTTGGCCCTATGGCTCCAACAGAATTGCTGGAACAGGAGGCTGGAAAAATGTAGCCTTGCTGTGTGCCCAGGCAGAAAGGGGAAACCACGAATCCCTTGCCTCCTCTGGTTTCAGGACCCACTGGTACATCAGGTGTGTGATGAAAAGGTCTTGCTTACCAATGCTTTTCCTATGTCCTCACTGTGCCCCCGCTTCATGTCGCCTCTCATACCCTGTCTCCCTACACACACACCATTTCCTCTCATCCAGCTGCATCTTTACTCTCTTTTACTTGATACCTTGAGGTAGGAAGGAATAAAGTGAACTTCGATGAGGAGCACTAAGAAGGTGGGTTTTCATGAGCATGATAAGTAGAAAGACAAGCTCACTGGAAAAGTGGGACATTGTTGTAGAAAGAGAATTGGTAGAGGCTGGTTTGGTTCGTTTCAAGATGGGAAGGGATTAATCCAATAGGAGACAAATCCCAAGATGAACAGTTCGTATCTCTGTGTAGTAACAGGTGATGTTTTGGACAAAATTTTCTGAGCCTATTATGAAATTTAGATAGAAGATTCCCTCTCATGTTTTTAACTGTTTTTGAAGGGCTGGCATCCACAACTAAGAACTAATAAACATGTAAGACTAAGTCATTCCAGCCGTTAATTTTTTCTTAACATGTAAAAATAACATACACATGTTCAACAATTTAGGGAGATGTTTTCTTTAATAAAGAATAACAGTTGTCTTCTGCCTTTAGCCCTTCCAACATGGAATGGGAAGCACAGAGGCACCCATTTGTAAGGGTTTGGTGACACATTCTACAAACCTGCCCAGGAGTAAAAGTCTGTCATTGCAGCATCAAGTCCTGCACATTCTCCTGGAGAGGTGCAGAGTTGGAGATGTTCTAATGCTTCCCATTTGTAACATAGAGCCCGGTGATAGGGACCCTAGGGCAGGGAAGACACTAAGGCATCTTTTTGTCTGGTCGTTGATCACTGAGACTTGATCTTCCTTCTCCTTTGTTATGCTTTGTTGAATAAAAACTACTTTCTGGAAACAAGTTCCTGCTTAAGTTTGTAAGTAGCATTTCTCACACCTAAAAGTCTTGCCCTGGACAATTTTGTAGGGCCAAGAGATATACAGGTCTCGCCAAGAACAATTCTCATGAAGAGTTCAAAAGTGGCGAATCCCTGGAAGTTCAGAGCAAGCGGCAGGACTTGGCCCCCAATACTAGAAGAGTTAGGTGTACCTACTCTGAAAGCCATATAAAGCATCTGCATAGTTGATGTGCTATATTTCTTTTCCCCAGGGCTTTCCTGGAAAGGATGGGGCCTCTGGCCCTCCAGGACCACCAGGACCAATTGTAAGTATTTCCAGAAACCACTGGGATATACTCTGCTTTAAAGCATTTTGCTTCTTTTGAGACATTTTCTTTTGCCAGACCTGTCACCTCCGCAGCCACCTTTGGTGTAACAGTTCAGCCCTTGGTACAGACCTCCACCTAAAATATCTTTTAAAAATAATACACCCATATGGCTTGATTATTCTTTCTCTGAGCCACTTTGTCATAAGAGCACCCGCATTGACTTAGTTTTTATTAGATGCAGATACGGCTTGAATTTGAAAGAACTATACCTGACTGTTAGTTTGGAGACTTCTTTCAAAAATGTCTTCCCTGCTTCTTTGGTAGCTGGGACCAGGAATGAGCAATGAACCCTGAAATCTTGGTGCTGAGGAGGAGGGGAGCTACCTCTGTGTGTGTCCCTTACTCCTTCCTGAGAGCGAGCTGTGCTCCATGAGAATGTGGAAGTCCTCACTTTTGCTTCATTTCCCTGTCTGTGCCTCAGGGCATCCCCGGAGCCCCCGGAGTTCCAGGGATCACAGGAAGCATGGGACCCCAAGGTGCCCTGGGACCACCCGTGAGTATGCAGCAGCAGCCGGTCAGGATGGTTGCCTAGTCATCCCTCTGGTTTATTTCTGCGTTTCAATTTACCAGCATCTCTGTTGGTCAAAAATGTTAGTTTTGGTCCTGGATGCTGTGGGAATCCATAAGGGAAAACAGAAACTCCTAGGACAAAGATTAAGATCAAACTGTGCACATGTCAGGGCTAAAGACAGAGCATCCCAACAGTGAATAATCAGCCACGCTGCTGCTTATATGTATGTATGTTTGTTTGTTCTTTTGTACTTGGCTAAGTAAACCCAATACAACCTTTACAGGGACGGGATACAATAGCTGTGTGTTAATTAGACCTGTCTCCTGGGGGTAAAAAAATACAAGGCTCGAGAAAGTCAAGGAGTAGTGAGAATGGGAATAGATTTTTATTCTACAAGAAAGGCAAGTAGGAGCACGTGCAAGCATGCACACACACAGAACACACACACACACACACACACACACACACACACAATTCTGTCTCTACCACCCTTTCCCTGAAAACTTATCTAGGCTATTCCTCACCAGAAAAGAGGATTGAAATGTCCTCTCTGCTACCAGGCTTCAGTCTGTTTCCCAGGATGTGCCCCTGGGAACAGGTGTCCCAGGATATGTCAGCAGCACTCAGAGAGCAAGGGCTTCTGGTTAAAGGAGTGGCAGAGACAGCGCATACTAAATCCCTTCTCTGACAGTCATGAGAGATTTGAGGACATCAAAAGCTTTTGAGGCATCTTGAAGGGAAGCAGAAAAAAACCCTCCAAACCTACTTGATTGGGTTAGACAGCCAACAAACGTGCTTGTGCACGATCTTGTGCGTTGCAGTCTTACTGATGTTTCCTAGAACCAGTTTCCTTCAGTGCCAGTTGGGTTGTTCCTGAGCCAGGGGGATAGGCTGTGAGAGATCAGTTTTGGGGGACTTTGAGAAAGGACAGCGGGGCCTGCGAGGCGTAGGGTGAGACATGGAATATGTCAGGGAAGGAGAATGCCTCCCTGCTTGTCCGTCTGGCCTTTTTGTAACTCTGGAACAGACTAAATGTGGAGCATGCCGAAACACCAGCGCATTTTTTCCTGGGCATGAAATACTTGTTAATAATATCATCTCTGATTTGTTACATGAACAGAAAAGGACCCTTGATGGTGGCGTTTTTCTCAGGGCCAGAAGCCATTTCGTCTGGTTTCATAGACACTGGGTGGGGATGCCACAGTCGGCACTGGGTAGCCTCTGAAAAGCTGGTTGTTCTCTGAACTGTCCAGCCCAGGCTTTGCCCTGCGCTTGGGGCCCTGAGCCACCAAGGCCTGCCGCCTGGCCCGACTGGCGTGACTAGTCAAGCGGGCTCGGTATCAAGGTGTTAAGGCCTTGACTATTTTCCCGTGGATGTCTGTCTAGGAAAACAGGAGGGAAAGAGACCAAGAAAGACAGACTGCCCCGCTGAAAATAGCAACACGTTTCCTCTAGTCGGTGCCAGGAACACTTGCTCGCATGCACTCTGCCGTCAGCCACTGGCTTCCCAGGGCAGACTGCGTGCTGCTGCTGTAGTCATAGCTGCTATGTGGGGTTCAAGCGTCCGCTAAAAGCTAGTGCCCCCCTGCAGAGGAACAGATTGTGACGAAGCATGTGCAAAAAGGCCCATGCGTTTAGCTTAAAATCAATGTAGGTAGGAGGTCTAGTGCTGCGCCATTTAAAGAATGCCGCACTGAAAGCCAGGACACCTGGATTCTTTCTAGATGTGGCCCTGACTTGACTTTAACTCACTGTGCAAGCCACTAAGCAATTTGCCTAGTCTCTCAGGCCTCAGTTTCCTAATGTGTTCACTTAAAAGTATTTACTTAGCAGCTGCAATATACAGACATATGGGGAGAGGGGTTCTGAGGGGTACAAAGGGTAACCAAGATATTTTTCCACATTCACGGACAATCTAGGGAGAATGATTTTTTTTTGTATAAGTACGTATAATAAAAGCCAGAAAGTCAGAAATGCCTTAAGGAAGGAAGAGACAAGGAAGTTGCTATGAAAGTTCCATTGAGAGGGAGAGAGCTGGACAGAGACAGAGACAGAGGGAGACACCCATCCGAGCTGTGGGGGTGAGGAGAGCAGTTCCTGAAGGAGGTGGCCTTTCAGTGGGACCCTGACAGGTGGCATGATTTGCACCCACAAAGACAGGAAGGTGGCGTTGTTTGTATGGGGATTATAGTAAAACATAAAGCGGGCACAGCACACCCTCTGTCTTGTATGTTTCAATAGTTTTCAACTCTTCCTCTTCCTTCTTTGCCACTGCCAAATTTTATTTCAAGCCCTCCTTATTTCCCACCAAGATGATCACAAGAAGCTCTGGCTCTGGCCTGGTCCATTCCCCGCTTCCAGAAGATCTTTCTAGAACAACTCTGATGTGTTATTCCCTCGCTTAAATGTCCTCACTGGATTCCTGTCCCCAGAGGATGGGTCTTAAATATGCAGCTGAGTATACATGGTCCTTCATGACGGGTCCTTTCTTTCCCCTCCCACTTGATTTCCCATCATCCTTTGGGGCTCAGTGATCATTATTTAAAGCTCGCTACATATATGCCACACTGTTTCACCTTTTTTTCCCCTTGGGGTGCTCTTCCATTTGTCTGGACTGCCGTCTCCTCCCTTCTCTGCCTGTGAGCTCCGGACCAGTCTCTCTGTAAAACTGTGCACTTCCTGTGTGAGGCCACCCTCACCTCCCCAGGCTGACATACGTTGTTGATGGTCATTTCTCCGCTAAAATGATAGGTCCTCGAGGGCAGGAATTTTATCATGCTCACATCTGTATCGCCAGACTCCAGCTCAGTATCAGAGAGGGCACTTGATAAGTATCTGTTAACAGAAAGAAATGAAGGTATATTTGCGCTCCAGTTAGGCTGATGTTCAAGGGCATTTTAGAAGATTATTCTTATAAATTAAGGGTCAGGCCGTGGAAAACCTTTAGAGCTGAGTTAGGATGTTTGGATTTTAGTAAACAGACATTTTTAATATGTGGGACTTGGACCATGAAATTATTCCTCTTCCCTTCGGCGCTAAAATTCTGTGAATCTGTGAATGTAGCCACTGTATTTTCCTTTCTTTACATTTCAAATGTTCCTGAAATCAAAGGAAAATGTGCCACTTTTTCTGGCCTGCATCTGCAGGGAAGATGTGTTTTCCCTCAAAGCATACTTTGGAGGAGTTATGGGCCTTCGCTTGCACCAGAATTTTTATTCTGTTTTTACTTTGCAAAAATCAAAGGAAAGATGTCAGAGAAGTTGGAATAAAACTAACTTCCAGCCGTACAGGTATTTCCCTAAACGGACCTTTCACTGAGACCACCTAGCTATGCCCTGCAGCTACTTAATATCAAGCACCGTGAGGCCGGGTGTGAGGAATTTCAGGCCCAATTAAACACAAAGGTGCCAACAGCTGATGCTGCCCATTTATCTTGTCACTTAGGTTTGCACTGTAATTTCAAAGCTTCAAGCAAACCCACTTAATAATAGCAAGCCATGGAAATGTCAAATAATGTATAGGTCCAGAACTAAAAATACTCAAGATAAAATAACTCAAGTTAAAACCTAATTCTGAATGACTAGTGTCTGAATGACTAGAATTAGGGGGGATGAATGGTTGATTTTTAAAAATCATTATTTAGTTAGGAAATGTATGGTCTTCACTGGAGTAGAAGACACTGGCTGACAAATTAGTTGAGTGCTTTCTTTGGAGGTAGTAGTGGCGCGTATAGGGGAGGGTGTGGATTTGGGAGCCTGGCTGTCTGGGGTCTGATCCCAACTCTTCCATTTTCATGTTGTGTGACCTTGGGCAAGTTATTTAACATCTTGATACATCACTTTACCTATGTGTGCAATGAAATCATATCTCATCAGTGTGTTTGGTGACACGGGCTGTGAAACAATTCACAAAGGGAAGAAAGTGGAGAGAATCAAGTTTTTATTCACTCCCCAAGGAAGCACAGGGGCATGGTGTGGAGAGATACAAGCCTTGAGGGGTGGAGGCTTTGAACTTTTATTGGATTATAACTGGATTAAAAAAGGGTGGAGTGTTGCTGATGTGTGGCCCCTACAAGGCTGCGGTTTGTTCCAATGTTATCTTCTGCCTGTGGCTGTAGGGAATGGTTAGTTCTGTTCTTGCTTTCAGTAATTTCCAGTCCTGCAGGCAAGCTCAGAAGAGTAAAATGGGAGCCGTATTTAACAAAGTCACAGGCCGGCTCAGCAAATGGTGCTGCCATGGTAGCAGTTGGCTCTGGCTTTACCCTTTCAATAGGGTTGCTAGCGAGAGTAAATGAGCAGACTGCCGGTCAGGATGGCAGCACAGGCAGACGTGGCTCATCTGTTTGCACAACCACATCACAATTACAACTAAAAACATAGAACAGCCATCACTCAGGAACATCAGAAACCAAGCTGAATGGAAGTCCAGCATTACAGATTTAAAGGAACCACATCCATCCAGACTGGTAGGAGGGGTGCAGACACACTATGTGCTAGTTCCACACCCAGATGGATAAAAATTAGGAAGGGATATCTCAGGAGTAAGAAGTCCCAGATCCACCCCAGGCCCCCCAGCCCAGGGATCCAGTGCCAAGAAGATAAGTCCCCACAACTTCTGGCTACAAATATCAGTGGGGTTGAGTCAGTGGAAGAAACTTCTGGAGCCCCATGCAGTTCCTCTTAAAAGAACCCACACATGGACTCACCTACTCAGACTCATTCCCTCTGAGCTCCAGCACTGGGGTAGCAGCTTGAAAGGCACCAGTCGTATATAGGGAGAATTTGAAGTGCCTGGCATCAAGGTGAGCAGAGGCCATTGTCCCTTTGCTAAACACTCCCCCGCAGAGCCATAAGCTGGTACCATATCGGAGACTCCATCAACCCAGCTAACCCTGGAGATCCCCAGAGGCTCTGCCCCACCTAACTTACAAGCCAACCTAAGCTGCTTTTCCATAAGAATGGCTGGTCTTGGCTGCTAAATCC